ATTAATATCTGATAAAAATTATAAGATAATATTAGATGCAATTAATGATGATCACATAATGGCTTGATAAAATCTATTTTAACACACATTAATAATTTGGTTATTTCTGATAAAATATATAACAGATGATAAAATATGTCATAGAAATGATTGCTGTCCGTGTTTCCTTCTTTATTGCTACAACGATAATCAAAAGAACGGTAACTAAAGTGAAAAGAACAAAATTTGAGAGAGCAATGAGAAATGGTGAAAAGCATGAGGATGATGTTTCAATTATCATATCATCGATTCCACCAATAAACATTTCCGATGAAGTAATATCCATTTCAAGATTGTTATCACTTAATTGATTATTGTTGTTTAATGATGATTTCAAATGCGAAATCGAACGACGATTGCGCTTTTCGCTATCACTTACTTCCTTCGAACATTTTGGTGGCTAAAATTATAATACAGTTGTGATCAATAAAATAAATACTATCGATTAATATCTTAGGTTCTATTTCTGTAAAATTATCACTATATTGGATAGAATGATAATAATCATTGCTTACTTACCGTAATTCCATCACAGTAACCCATTGTTTTTTGACACAACTGAATTTGACAAGTGAAAAATAATCGATTACTATCAGCATATTTGAATACTTGACTTTGAGCATGTGCTTTCATTAATGATGATGTATCGTATACCAGCTCACTTAGCAAAAAATTGTCTAATGAACAACTGAAATTGAAAATTTTAATTTTTCAAAATTTAATATTTAATGTATAAAAAAATAAAAAAAAATTTAAACATTCCAATTGTTTAATTTAAATAATTGATTTATTTAAAATTAAGCATAGCTATACCCATTAGAATCCAAAACCTGATGATCAGTGCCTTCTCCATCGGTTACAAAACATTTTTTAACAAGCATTCCCATACCGATGCCATCACATACCCAAACATGGAATACCTTTAAAAATATTAAAGTTTATTTCCATCTAATATCCAATAGTTTTAATTAATTTTATTAATTGTGATATCATACCAAAAATACAATTAACCAAATTTAAGATATTTTTAGATAGAAATTTGACAAAATAAATAAAGAATTAAAACAATAATTTGTGATATATAAAGAAGAAAAATTAACGCATTTTATTAAAATAATAATTCTAAGACAAAAGGAGTAATTAAGAATACGACAAAACTGTATTGATTGATAACATATATCAATTACAATTTGAAATAAATTGTATTTTACAATAAAATATATTTGCTAGAATTTTTCTCATCAATTTCATGAATAAACAAATAAATTATAATTAATAAGTATTAATAATAGGTAAAATTAAACTTTATTAATAAGTAAAATAAGTAAAATTATTAATTATTAATTTTTAATAAATTAAACTTTGTTAAAATTGTTGTAATTTAAATTAAACAAATTATAATTCAATGTCTAAATATTTATTTGTTGAATTTTTCTAATAAATAAATAAATGTTTTCTTTTATTTTCGAAATTTATAATCAAACATTACCGTTTCGCCAACATTTGCAAATGTAAGTTGTGGCCCATTAATACTATCACGTCGTACGGTATATTCACATGTTGGAAATTTTAAATCATCCTGTAGTTCTGTTGTTACCAATGGGCTATAAAATCAAATTGGAATATTTCCGTTCCTTTTTTCTTATCACTATTATCAATCATATCAAACAATCTCCAACAATGGTATTGATAACAAATTTTGCAGAAATCAAAGTGTAATAAAAATTCGATTGAAAAATTAGTGTACTTTATGAAATTTTATTTCAATTAAAATAATCAATAGTTGCAATTATTATTCTAATAAAATTTGCAAATTTGATTAAATTTTTAAAATTTTATTTCAATTAAAAAACTAATAATTAAAAATTTGCAAATATTTTAATGTTAATTAAATTTACGTTACTAATAAAGGAAGTTTATGGAAGAAATTTGAACTGAAATAAGTTTAAACATAGAAATTAGCAATTTATTAATGAAAAATTAATTTTTAATAACCTGACATGAAGAGCTGACGTAACAATTGTATCCGGTTCCAGGTAGAAACATTTAAGATGAAATGCTCGATCATTTTTGGTTATAAAACCAGCTGGATGAAATGATACAATCACTGTTACAATAAAATTAATCCCACGTGGATTAACCTAAAATATTCTAATATAATTGGGATCTTTTAATTTTAAATTTTCAGTTGAAATTTTTTTTCAACTTTTTATCATTAATCATTGAAATTGGCACTAATTAATTAATTAAAAAATTTTCCGATCTATTTTTAATATGTTAGTGAGAATTTATGAGAAATTCAAAATAGTATTAGCATTATTCCAAATTTTTTAATTAATCAAATTTGATTAATTAAACATTTTAAGTTTCGAAAATATTGTAATGATTGTTTAGATTGAAGGAAAAATTTCTTATGAAGATCGAAAGATTTTCTTCTTAATTTTCATCTTTCATAATAATTAATCAATGATTTACTCATTATCAATCAATAATTTATATTATAAAACACGATATATAGAAAGAGAAAATTATATTATCATATAAACTAACTGAGCGCAAACGTAGCATACCACATTTACCGAGTGATAACGTATAGGAATTAGTATTATTATAATCATAAGATTGCTTGCATGAAGAATCCTTAGCCCATCCTTTTACAAATATATTACCATGAAATGGTTTTGCTGTTATCACATGCAATGATAAGTCACTTTCTTCACATGATACTTTTGGTACACCTAAATAATAGCATAATAAGAGTGTGAAATAATTTTATATTTAAATTTAAATTGAAAATAATTGAAATTAATTTAGATTAAATCAAATTAAATTAACAGTTAGATCAAACCTTAAGTTATTGATTCATATGGAATCTTTGGCTTATCATTTTTGCAAATATATTAACATTTAAACTATTCCAATAGTTTCAATAATATTTTATATTAAAGAGCAGAGCAATACCTGCATTATTTTAAATTTAAATTTCAAATTAAAATTTAAAAAAGTTTTAATTATGTTATTTCAATTTTGAAAGTTATAGACAACACGAGCGATAACTTAGCATTTAGATTTTTAATCATTGATTGAGCTGAAAAGAAATAAGAAGGATTTTCACTTATGAAATAAATAAAATTTCACTAACATTTATTTATATACAGCTAAAGAGCAGCTTAAGATTAAAATCTGAATCTGAAAGCTAAAGAAATTTGTTAAGAAATTTTGTTAAAAAAATTTATTAAATTCAAACTTATGATTAAATCAAAAAAAAGAAGATAATATTTTCCTTTCTTTCCGAGTGAAATAATTTCGGCACTTTGACTAAACAAAAAGAAACAATCACATAATTAATAAATGAATTAATTTATCAGTAAATAAAAATTTGAAATTTTATCTATTTTACTTTTTTTCTCTCTCTCTCTCTTTCTTTATCATTTAATCATTATTTCTATCAATTGTTGTAATATAATTTACATCGAATAAGGGAAAATATTTGTAAGTACTTTACATGAATATCATATTTGTAAAGATTTGAGAGACGAAATTTAGCCATAAAGTCTTATTGTATTACCAATTCTCATATAACCTTTCCCATTTAATAACAATAATTTGACACAATAAATTATTCACTAATAATAATAGTAACCATTTAATGGTAGCAGCGATTATTAATGCAATAAATTCGCCTTCACTTTAAAGACTTTTAATAAAAGCATATCAATCAATTGTTCAGTTTGTTATAACAAAAATTTACCTTATTGTTAGCATAAATCATAGATGCAAATTAGAAATGAAATTCAAAATATAAATAAATTAATCTTATTGTTTTGAAATTTTTTTAGCACAAATTACAAATGAAATTTATAACATAAGTAAATTACTAATTATTATTATAAAATTCTGCTAGCATAAATTATAAATGAAATTTAAAACATAGGTAAATTACTAGCTATTATTATAAAATTCTGTTAGCATATATTATAAATGAAAATTAGAAATAAAATTTAAAACATAAGCAAATTACTAATTATTAATGATGAGAGTTTCTAAAAAAATTTTTTCATTCCATTTCTCTTTTTTCAAAGAGTCAAAGGTTAAACAATTAAATAATTTTATTTGTTATTAATTCGATACACTTTCTATACCCAATCGTTTCTGATTATCAAATTACATTTCCTTTTATTATAATTAATCTGTGCGTATCATTCATTACAAACTATAATTATTAATTATAATTAATTGTATAATTAAAAATAATAATTTTCATTTAATAATTACCGTATGAAAAAAACTTTTTTCCAAAAAAATTAATATAATTATTTAAAAAATCTCTATGATACGATTGGAAAATATAATAAAAGCTTTGTGGTTTTTTTTTTCATTCCACAAATTATGACCTAAAATTAAATTACTTTCGAAGTATTATCGCAACATTTATAACAGAAACTTTTGACAGCCAATTTTTTTCCCTTTTCCATCAAATTTAATTTTAGATTTTAAATTCAAGGTTAAAAATAATCTTTCTTTCGTATTGCTTCCCTTTTAATTCCCGTAAATCTTTTTATTCGAATTATGTAATTAATAAAGATAACGAATTATCTTGCCAGTATTTTCCTATCCCATTCCAACACTCACTTACTAGCTGTCAATAATTTTTCCTAACCTTTCTTTTGTTTTTATTTAAGAAATGAATTTAAGTTTTTTAAAATCAAAATTTCAGAAGTAATTCTTTGAGAGAAAAACTATCCTTTTTCTTATGACTACAAAGAAGTGTCTCAAATAATAGTACAGTTCCATACTTTTATCATATCTCACTTATGTCAATTTAAATTTTGAATTTATTAATGATTTGAAATTCTATGAATCATCAGAAGATTATTGAGCAAAAAGTTATTGAATAATCATTTATCGGATATGTGCTACTGTTGAAGTTATGACGTTGACAATAATGTCCCATTTATTATACATATTTCTTTTGCATCAAAAACTTTATGAGTTATATTGCCTTGACTGATATTTATTCCGATCATTTCAATTTCCTTTTTATATCTTCCTTTTCTTTTTTAAATTTCTTTCAACTAAATTAAATTGAAATTCATCAATTTGTAATTTAGTATTATTTGCTTATTATCATAATTATTGTAAAATCATCGTATGGTAATATATATCATATATAAATCATTATTATTTCAATATTAAGTATAAAATATACTTCTTAAAATAGGCTAATTATAATTTATAATATGATCAATATTTGTTAATTGTTTTGAAGAAATTCGATCATCTATAGAAATAGGCTAGCAAATAGTATATATTACCAAAGACAAAAGGAAAAAATTAATGAAAGTAAAATTTTAATTAGTAAAAATCAAATGAATAATTTTTAAATGAAATTAAAAAAAAACTACCTAAGATGGAATTTTCGATGTAAACAACAGCAAGGCACTTTAGTGGCGATATTATTATGATAATGCTCAAATAGAAGAGCATAGCCTCGAGAATTTGAATGGAAGGAAATTCAACTGACCAGAAAGTGACAGTTTTGTGACCGACCGATTATGAGAAAATAAATGATAGTTTGTAGTATTTGGGGAGGAATAATTGTGACAATTAAGCAAATAATTTCCTTAGAGGAAGAGAAAAGTAAAGATGAGAAAAAAAGGGTTAACGATGAAATGATTAGGTTAGAGAGATAAATTGGTGAAAATCAGATTTTCAATGAATTTGTAGTTAGGAATGAGAAAATGATGGAAAAGACTGATCTGGTTAGAAATGGTAAAAGAAATGAATGAAAAAGAAGGAAGAAGGCGGATCATAGAAGAAAAGATAACCAAAGAAGGAGTAATACTTTTCGCCTTGTGGTTCTTTCAAGGTCAAGTATTTTATCCACAATTCACCTTTTCGAGATCATGAATAATCAAGTAATACCAAATGATTGTGTCATCAAAGTGAATTGTCCTAAATATTAAAGCCATCTAACACTTCCCACCTTCATCTTCAAGTTATTATTATTAACTATGATCAATTTTTAGGATTAATATTTATACTTCAATTATAACTATTTTGCTCATTGTTAGATATAATTCACTTATATCGGATAAAGTTTGAACTATTAATAGCATTCGTTCATTGACTTAATAAAATTTTGATCAGCGAAACGATATTCAATATAATTGAATTAAATAATACTAATAGAGTGTAGTATGAAATTTAAATGTTGAATTTGAAGTAATATCTTATCGCTTAATGACAAATATTAACAAATATAAATTATTGATTGATAGGAATATTTTAAGGAATTTTTCTTTTGCCTTTTTTGAAGGGCAAAAACTTGACAAGGATAAATTTCAATTATTTTAATTTTTAATAAATTATAACATTTGATCTGTTTTCTGGAAATAAGATAGTAACCGTATAAATATCACTGCATACCGATGAAATAACAATATTAAAAACTACGAATGAAAGTTACAACCAATAATACTTACATTTAATTAAAGTAATATGATAATTATCTCATATAAAATATTCCTTTTTTCCACCTTCCTAAGGCTTAATATTACAAATTAAGGGATTTCATTTGCAAGAGTATCAATGATAAGTGATATATTATCAATAATTCGTTACAATCAGTGAGTGATATAATGTGAATGAAATTAAAAAATGATATGCATGGATTATAAAGTGTTTCGAATTTATGCGATATGAAAAGTATAAATTATCAGAATGTATTTTTTAAGGGTAAAAGATTTTGATGTGTTTTAGAAATTCCAAGGATAATTATAAAAAAGAATAAAATTAAAATTACGAGATATTATAAGTAATAAAGAATGTAGTATATATTTTATCCTAATATATCAAATAATAAAGGAAATTTATAAAAATGAAAAGAATAAATAAATTGAATGAGTAATGTAATTAAATTTTAATGAATGAGTAATTTATTAATTTATTAAATTTCAGTTTAATAAATTACAATAAAAGAGAAATGCATTTTATTTACGAATAAATTAAGATAAAGTAAAGGATGAGAAAATTTAAGTAAATTTAATATATTCATCTGGAAATTATAGATTTACAAAAAAATTTACATAAAAATCATCATTATCCATGACCTTCATTTCTCACTTTTCTTTCTTCCATTTTTTTTCTTATGGTTCCATGACCTTGACTATCACCAATTTCAATTCTTACCAACCATTTCATCAGATAGATAATCGAAGCACTTCTATTACTTTATCCACAACATTTTACCTTTTAATTTCATTTTCAAGGTATATAACTTTTGATGAATGAAAAAAAGGCAATTTTCGATGACGAAAAGGCATAAGCTTAAATTTTAATTTTAGATTATCAGTTAGGCCATCTGAAAATGACTCTCAGATACGAACGAATCAAAAATCATTTGAAAATTTGTCTTTTTGTAAAATTATTGGTTTTTTACTTTTTGATTTTTTGTTTTGTTAAACATAGCAAATTCACCACAAAATATATGTAAAATGAAAAGTTGAAAATTTGAGAATTCATTTATTTTATTTTCTAGTTTATATAAACAAAAAAATTTGATTTAAATTAATTTAACTTTAAATGAAAATTTAAAAAATTTAATAAAGCATAAAGATTTAAATAAAAACAATTGAAAAACAAAATAATAAAATTGAAGTAAAAAGAAAATGGCGCAAAAAATTAAATGCAAAAAATGTGATCGAAAAAAAGCGCAAGAAATTAAAATAAATTAAAATTAAAATTAAATTAAATTAAAAATTAAATTAGAAAAATTAAATTAAAAAAATTAGGAAATTAAAATTTAGTCATTTTCCATTTATTTAAATTACAAATTATGAAATTAGTAAAATTACAAAAATTGAAAATATACAAAAGAAAAGTTTGTCCAAACTTTCTAAATTGAATGCTTGCCTAAGTTTCCATTCAGAAATTTTTGCAAGAAAGAAATTCCTCTTTTTAATTTAAAATAAAATTTTGGGAAGAATTTCAAAGTTGGTGTAAATCTTTAATAACAACAATAATAATAAAACAATGCAATAATTGATATCATTATTAATTATTATTGATATGCAAATTCATCAAATATATCAAAACATTTTTAAAATTGAAATTGAAAAATAAAAGTGTTTAGAAATATGACAAATCTTTTTCCAGTTTAATTTAAGAATTTTTTCAACTCACAAATTTTTATTATTATTTATATATTAAAACTTTTATTTACATTTTTTTTTGCATAAATATATCAATATTATGCTCTTATAAATATTCCAAAAATGCATATGAAATATTTATTTGTGTTATATAGTTTGTGGAGGGATTGGTTAATTTAAAGTTTAACATTCATTGCTTTCTTAATATTATCCGTTATAATGACCGGTCGTTTGAAAAGTCAGTGGAAAAAATTACTTCCCGATGCTATATTACCCGATCATCATCATCATCATCAGCAGCAGCAGCAACAGCAACAGCAGGAACAACAACAATCACAGCAACAGCTTGAACAACAACAGTCATCATCGGTACAGGATAGTAGTAGTAGTAGTGGTTCAAGTTCAAGTGCAAGTACATCTGCAAATTCACCTGTAACTGCAATTTCAAGTGGAAGTGATTCAATTTTAAGTGGAACTGGAAGTACTTTGAAAGCAACAAAAGAAAAGCTAAAAAATATTGCTCTACCATCAAATTTCCGTAAATTACGAAAGAAATTTTTAAGGTATAAAAAAGAAGGCACTGATATTAAAGAGGATAATACGGAATTTGAAAAGGTTTGAAATTATATTATTTGTTAAGATTATTTATTATCATATTGTTTGCCTAATTATTTGCCAAAGGTATGGTACCATCATATTTCATTTAGACATTATTTCCTACAAATGATATTTCATTTTTGTTTCTCTTAAAAATCTTATTGAGTATTTTTATAAATAATTTGTAAAGTGATTTTAAGAGTGGAAAGAGAAATATAAAAAATATATCATTCTAAAATGGAAATAATTAGGAATTTTGGTAGTGTAGAAAATTCCTAATACATTAATTTCAGGTAGCTGTACAACAGCGACCAGCAAGAAGTAAGAAGAAAAAACAAAGTATGTTAAAATGGAAGGAAGGCGCAAAACCAATTCCTATCGAGGCTGATGACAGCAAAGGAAAAGTATAATTTAAACTTTTCTATCATAAAATTTTAATTGCTATCAAAAAACACATAATGTTTGAATATTAATAAGAATAAGAAATAATATTAATAAAAGCAATGATAACAAATTTAATATTTATCGCATTAAAATTTTGTATTTTTGGAGATTAATTATTTTGGAATTAACTATTTCGTAATTTTGTGTTTTGGAGAGTAATCTGTTTTTATGCTTTCCTTTACTCATTTCTTCTATCATTTTGATATATGAAAATGAAATAGCTTTAATCAGAAATAATATTAATAATAGTAATAGTGTAACAACAACACTAACAACAACAGTAATTAATTCTAATAATAAATGATAATAAATGGTAATAGTGTAACAACAACAGTGATTAATGATAATAACAATTGATAATAATATATATAAATAACTATTATTAATAATAAATATTAAAATAATATTAATAATAATAATAATAATAGAGAATGACAATGAATGTAATAAAATTATTTCAGAGAAAACCGAAGAAAAAAAAACGACAAGAGAGAAAAAAGAAGAAATTAAAATTGTCAAAATCCCTAAGCAGTGAATTGATAACTGAAAATGAGAAGGAACAGAAAACAATGGAAAAGGAGGAAGCTGAAACTGAAATAGAAGGAGAAGAGCAACCTTTTACCGATTCTAAAGAGGAGGAGTCCGAATTCGAATCAGCATTTGATACGTAAGATAATGTCCTGACTGACTTTGCTTTTAGCATCTTGAAACTTTGTTTCAGAATTAAATCTGTTTGGATCTGCAATGAAACAAAAAATAAGAAAACTTTTAATTAAAAGAGAAGAATATTATTATTATGAGTGCTATATTTTGATCACATATTTTTTGTTTTAATTAGAATCACAGATTTAAACTTGAAGAAACCCAATCGTAATCCAATCAAAATTTAGAAAATTGACTTTTCAGGATTGATAGGAAGAAAAAGGAAGTACCATCAATACCTGCCGCTAGTGGTAATTTAGATACTTCGGTTGGTTCCAAAACACCTCCCGGACCAGCACAAGTACCATCCCAAATCCCACAGGAATCTACACTTGCATACTCTACTGTTAAGGGTTCAGCAGAATTCATCGTACCGTTTGTGAATTCAAATCAGGAACCCGTTCCTTTTGCTACAGAAGAAGCTACAGATACCAGGAATGTCAGCAGCAGTAGTGGTTCGCAAAAAAGTGACACTCCTTCAACTGCACCAGAATTTGATATGTGTGATGCCGAACCGATTATCCTTTCCAAACCGGCATGTCAAGTTCTAGAGATTATAGTGAACAAACAATTCTTTAAAAATGCTGCAGGATCAGAAAAGGAAAATGACTTAATCCGGAGGTACTTTGCTGGAAAAATTCCTCCGGAACATGAAAAAGATGCGCAACGAACACTCGAAAAAGCAGTTGATTTAGCTGTGACAAGGGTAAAATCAAGCGGAATAAATAAATACTTATACAATTTCCTAAATAACCGTGTAATGGCAATTAGCTTGATAATCGATGCGATGAAATATCGGAAAAAAGAATTCCTACCAGAATTTTGGAATTATAACCGAATGAACAAAAAAGAACCCTCCTAAACAGCACTTCTTTTAAAAAAAAAACGAAAGTTCTTTTTTTAACAGTCACTCTATTTCTTGATGAAACTGTTATACTTTTTATTTCAAAATATGGAATTATTGATTAGTAAAATTTCACAGCATGGACGCGTGAAATTTGTAAACGAAATGCATCACCAATTTCAACATAGTAAAATTTCAACGGAAATTTCAACATTTGCGGAATTTCAACATTTGCGAAAT